CGGGGCATGGGGCGCGTTTCACTGAGCGCCTGTCCGTGTGTTCGCAGAGCTCGTGGACAAGTGCATAGGCTCGCGCATCCACATTGTGATGAAGAGCGACAAGGAAATCGTCGGGACGCTGCTGGGATTTGATGACTTCGTCAGTATCCTTTGCGGGAAGTTTAAGGCCGCCTGCTTTATGCTTTGGCTCGGTTCGCATAATGCTTTCCGGAGTTTTCAGTTCACCAGGTGGAATCCTTTTGGTTCACTTGTGTGGTTTGGATCGGTCGTGTTCTTGTAATATCCTTAACTTTTTTGGTAAAATCACACTTCAGCATAACATGAAAATAGCATTAAATGTTTTTGATTTAAAATTCTGGGCCTTGTTTTCCTTGAAACTGGATTTTCAGATATGGTGTTAGAAGATGTTACAGAATTGTAAGTATTATTTCTGCCTCTTGTTGCTATTTAATGTTTGGTTCACTGAAGCAAATAAGATCTGTAAGCAGAGTGGTTTTGTATTTTTGGAGTACTTGCCAGCTAACTAGTTTATCCTAGGACTTAAAAATACAGACTGCCATTGGTTCAGTATAGCCATGTCATAGAGTAGGTGTTGTGTGATTTATACTTGTACTGGGGCTCCCAACTTCTCTTAATTTTGTGTGGGTTGTGCATTGAACTTCTCAGTTATTTGTTTGCTTTTGCATTTCCTTAAGGTCTAGACAAAGATTTTAAAAGGCAGCAAACTTAAGGATAAAGATTTATTACTTTGTTGTGCCATGTTGATATGTGGTATTCAAGAAATTGCCAGGCTTTAGAGAGTGAACATGCATCTTCATGTACTGAGTAGAGAACATCTTTTTAAATGCCAGGTAGCTTTCTTCACCCAGGTGGTCCATTCATCAAGATTACATTCCAGCGCAGCTGATTTATGTTAGTTCCAACAATGGTCATCTTAATACAGAGAGAGATCTATGTCAGGTCTGTAATCAAAGCTGGAGCTGTTGTCCTTGCTTCTGTGTTCTTATTTACTGTTTCTAATGCTGTTTTAGTGAAATTACACCTGAGGGAAGAAGGATCACAAAGCTAGACCAGATCCTGCTAAATGGAAATAACATAACAATGGTAAGTCATCACTGTTCAAAAGCTGCATTGATTTTTTCACACCTGTAAATCAATCAGTAATTGAGTTCAGCTGCTTCAAGCTGCACTTTCCAGACAGTTCCATTACATCATGAACCTTCAAGTAGCTTCTGGGGACATGTGTGTATGAATCATGCCGGAAAAGTGACCTTACTGCCATACTCGGCACCTGCTGCAGTTTAAAAAACGGTCATGAAAAGGGTATGGCCCTAATTTTGTTTTGGTGAATGTGTTTCTGGTCTTCAGATGTACTAGGGAGTTACTGACTTCGTTACTCATGCTGTAGGGGGACTCATACAGTAGCTTTTAATTCCTGAGCATTTGCCTGCATCCATGGGTCAGACACCTGCATTTCATCTGTTCATGCATGCATAAATGTGTTTGCAGCAGTTTGGATGCTTGCAGGCTTGTTGAGCCATTAGGTGATTGTGATACCACATGGTGCCCAGAGAGCTGTTCCTGCATCCCTAAGGAGACTTCTGAAACTTCTTAGACACCACAAAAGCAGACCCAGTCTAGCTTTTTTGCTTGTCTGCGTAATGACCGCAAATCCTGCACTTCAAA